TCAATTTGTTAAGTCAACAACAGGAGTCACTGTGCACTTACTCCTCATGTAGGATCTCTGTCCTTAGTGTGCTGTACATTGAGATTTAATGCTATAACTAGTACTCAAACAGTATTTTTCACTTTATGTTTCTGTGTGGGAGCAAACTGTTGAAATCTTTGCTTAATGTATGCTAAACTGATCTTCTGTATATAAAGAGAATCGAAAATGAATCTTGATGTGAATGGAAGGGGAGAGGGAGTGGGAAAGGGGAGGGTTGTGGGTGGGAGGGACGTTATGGGGGGGAAGCCATTGTAATCCATAAGCTGTACTTTGGAAATTTATATTCATTAAATAAAAGTTAAAAAAAAAAAAAGGAAAAAAAAACATTTATAAAAAAAAAAAAACCATCTTAGTCAAAGTTTTCTTTTTTTTTTTTTTTTTTAAGATTTATTTATTTATTTACCAGAGAGGCAGAGTCACATAAAGAGGAGACAGAGATCTTTTATCCACTGGTTCACTCCCCAAATGGCCGCAATGGTCGGAGCTGAGGCGATCCAAAGCCAGGAGCTTCTTTTGGGCCTCCACATGGGTACAGGGGCCCAAGCACTTGGCCATCTTCCACTGTTTTCCAAGGCATCAGCAGGGAGCTGGATCTGAAGTGGAGCAGCCAGCACTCAAACTGGCACTCTATAGGATACTGGCACCACAGGTAAAGGCTTAGCCTACTACGCCACAGCGCTGGCTCCCCCTTAGTCAAAGTTTTAACACTGGCACAAAAGTCACGTTTGTTGCTAAATAAGATACAAAGCTAATAATATAAATTTTAAAAGCTTTTAATATTTATTCTTATTTGATAGAAAGAGGAAGACAGAGAGAAAGAGGAAGACATAGAGAGACTTAGGGCTCCCATCTGCTGGAACATTCTCCAAATGCATTTAATATCCAGGGCTGGGCCAAACTGAAACCAGCAGCCCAGAACTCAATACAGATCTATTACATGTGTGGCAGGGACCCAAGTACTTAAGCCACCACTTGCTGCCTTCCAGTATGTGCATTAGCAGGAGGCTGGGATCAGATGTTGAGCCAGGACTTGAACCCAGGCTCCAGTATGGGATGTGGGCATCCCAAGTGGTATCTTAACTGTTGTACCAAATTCTGGGCCCAAGTTTTGTTTTTTTCTTTATATCAATCTGTTAAAAAGAAAATTTGGTTTGTTATTGCTTATAGATGACTCTGTATGTTATAACTGCATTAACAAATGTCTTATGTAGTTATACATTAAGACCATAAATCAAGTCATTATTTCATGTCAAAATAGTATTATTAATGAATTAGAAAATTCATTTTTATTTTTACATGTCTTTTTTCTTATATTTCACCTATTTGAAAGGCAGAGAGTGAAAAAGCACATGCATATGCATGTGAGATAGAAAGACAAAGAGGGAGAGAGGGAGGGAGGGAGAGAAAGACATACACATATACAAACTCCATTAGCTGGTTCATTCCCCAAATAATTGCAACAGCCAGACTGACCAAGAACCTGGAACTCCATCTGGGTTTCCATCATGAGTGACAGGGACCTAAGAACTTGAGCTATCACCTCCTGCCTCCCAGGGTACAGATTAACATGGAGGTATAATAGGGAGTGGAGGCAGGACTTGAACCCAGGCAATTAGTAGGTGATGTGGGTGACATAAGTGGCATCTTAACTGCTGTGTCAAATGACACCCCAGAAAATTTATTTTTATGTTGTGTCTTACAGGGTTGAGATCAGGCAGACACAGAATAGTTTAATATTTTTTCTCTTACCAGGCTTTAATTTTTTATTGGAACAGAATTTAGGGGTATGAATATTGAAAGTGGCAAGGGTCAACAAATTTACATCTTATTAAAATAAAAAGATTCTTAAAGAATACAATGATAGGATATAATTTCACTCTTATGGCACAAAACCTCCTATTAAATGACTCACAGAAAAATAATGCTTTAAACCAAAATTTTAAGACCAGTAAGTTTCAAAAAAATGTAGCGTTCAAAATACTTAATTGTCCTTTTATCAACTTTCACAAACTCATTCAGTCTTCGCAGTCTGAGCAAATCATTTTTAGCTTCTTCATAGTTCTCCATCTGTCTTTCAGCATGACACTTGTTCGGTTGTTGAATTTATAATGCAACAGTATTTTAGACCAGCTTCCCTCTCCATATTTCCTCACGCCAGATCTCAAATTCTTGTCTTCTTCCCAAAGCCATGCCTTTTGATAAAATGTAGAATAGTTACTCAGAGACTTAAATTCTTAAAAAAAGACATATCTACTATAAATGCAACAATTTTTTTAAATCAAAATAATGCTTACAATTTAAGAAACAGTTTAAGAATGATGCAAGAATTTATACATTTCTTATTTTTGTAAGATTTTACTTATAATATTAAGGGTCATTACTATTATTGTTCATTTTATATAAGCTACAAAGCTTTAGCATGCTACTTTTCATTAACTGATACAAAATCAAGAGATGTAAATTTTGCTTATGTGTGGTGATTCAGTAAAAGTACTTCAATAATGGGTTATGTCTGGGGTCATATATCTTTGAAAATGTTATGAAAGCTATGGATCCATCCCACAGAAAACTGTATCTAAAATTTTCCATAAAATTTTGGGGATCATCTCAATTCCCCTTAAAAAGCTTATCAATTCCATGGCCTTCAAGTTAGAAATTACAGGTTAAAAAGCAGTCTTCATATAAATTTCATACATGTATATGGAAATATTTTATTTTTAATTAAGCTATAATTACTTTTTTTTTATTTTGACAGGCAGAGTGGACAGTGAGAGAGAGAGAGAAAGAGAAAGGTCTTCCTTTGCTGTTGGTTCACCCTCCAATGGCCGCCACGGCCGGCGCGCTGCAGCCAGCGCACCGTGCTGATCCGAAGGCAGGAACCAGGTGCTTTTCCTGGTCTCCCATGGGGTGCAGGGCCCAAGCACTTGGGCCATCCTCCACTGTACTCCCGGACCACAGCAGAGAGCTGGCCTGGAAGAGGGGCAACCGGGACAGAATCTGGTGCCCCGACTGGGACTAGAACCCGGTGTGCCAGTGCCGCAAGGCAGAGGATTAGCCTAGTGAGCCACAGCGCCGGCTCAGCTATAATTACTTTTAATAGAAAACAGATGATATCTTATAATCTATATCACTTCTCTCAAGAAATAACAAATTCTTTGCTCAGATCCTAAGTAGGTTATTGCTCAATCCTATGTGGGTTACTGGATGCAATTAAGTTTTAGCATTACTTTCTAGAGGATCACCTCCAACAGAGGTCAGCAATCTACTGCCCAAGGCTGTTTTACTATAGCCCAGAAGCTAAGAATCATTGTTATACTTTTACAAGTCAAATTAAAAAAAAAGTCCAACTGTATATGTATCACAAATATTCAGTCTGGCCCTTTACAGATAAAGTGTACGTGCCCTCTTTCTTTTAAGAAAGTAGTATAATTCATTTTATCTTCTAATGAAAAATATTTTAGCTTGATATATTGTTACTTTGTGGTTAATTATACCATGACTATTTTGTTTCATTTAAGTATGTTTAGTCTTTGCTTAATTTCATACAGGCTTGAAAAACAAAATCATATGACAAAGAATCATATGACAAAGAACCAGCAATCTTATAACAAAGAAACCATAATCTTTAAAAGTTCAAAGCATAAAGAGGCATATTGGTCACTGGTCCAATTTTTACTTCTATAAATGAAACTGAGTGAACAGACACAATTGGCCTATTAGTGGCATATCAAAAAGAAAACATTAGACAACAAAATCGCATTGTCTACTCCTGTGCTTAAAACTTTTCACTTCTTTGATAAACTGGATTCCATTAACTATGACACATAGCTAAGAAAGAGTTTAAGATGACATATTTCAGGAAAGAAAATATATAAAACCCATGTCCTTTGATTATATTCTATCTTTTGGTTAACCTGAAAGATGAAAAATAAAATCAAGGGGCAGCCATTGTCCTGCATCACGTTAAACAGCCACTTGGGATACCCACATCTCATTCTGCGTGTCTGGTTTGAGTCCTGGCTACTCTGCTTCCAATTCAACTTTATGTCTGGGAAGGAAGCAAGGTGAAGGCTCAAGTGTTTATACCCCTGCCACACAGGTGGGAGACTTGAATAGAGTTCTGGGCTCCTGGCCCTGACTATTGCAGGCATTTGAGAAGTGAATCAGTAGATGGAAGATCTGTCACTTTCCCTTTCAAATAAATAAGTATATGAATAAACAAATCTTTAAAAAGATTGATAACATTTAAAGCAAAAGAAAATACTGTTACAGTACTTTCCATTACAATTCAGTAAATTTCTCATTGCTGAAAGGCATTCAGTTTTCTCCCTTAAGAGAATAAACTTAGAAAAAGGAACACTAATCTTTAAATTGTGATGAGACAGGTAGAAACATGACTGTTTAACAAATGCAGTAAGGAGAAAACTGTCCAATTAGGCATGGAACTCTATAATTAAAAAACTTAAAGAACCACAAATTTCAAATCAAAATAAAATTAAGTCTGTCATTTATCTTTTTTTTTTAAGATTTATTTGAAAGGCAGAGTTACACACAGAGAGAGGGTCTTCTGTCTGCTGGTTCACTCCCTAAATGGCCTCAATGGCTAGAGCTGGGCCGATCTGAAACCAGCTGCCAGGAGCTTCTTCCGGGTCTCCCATGTGGGTGCAGGAGCCCGGGTGCAGGAGGCCAAGCACTTAGGCCATCTTCCACTGCTTTCCCAGGCTATAAGCAGTGAGCTGGATTGGAATAGGGCAGCCATATGGGATGCCTGCACCACAGGCAGAGGCTTAGCCTACTATGCCATAGAACTGGCCCGTCTTCTATCTTCTGGAACAAGTGTCCCACCAAAAAGCCAAGAGCAGAAAGCCAAAAGAAAACAAACAACAACAACAAAAAAATCTAAACACCTATGACAGTCACAGCATTTTTTCTGGCATAGAAAAACTGTAATAGATATCACCTATATTCTATAGATTATGTGGTGGATATCCTATGTTTTGTTTTGAATACAAAAGACAGAAACTGTTTTCTTAATAAGTATTTATAAATAACACTTGAAGTCTCATTTGGACTATTACAAGGAAAGATCCATTATGTCTGAGGCAGATTCCTGGTTTTCAGTCTGACAAGTGAAGTGCTTGGAAATCATTACTCCTGTTTCCACAAGAAGAAAGTTGAGTAGGGGCGTGCATTGGCATCATGGTTAAGGTGCTGCTTGAGATGTCTGCATCTTGTATCAGTGTGACTGGGTTTGAGCTCCAGCTCTGCTGGATTCCAGCTTCCTATTAATGTACAGACCATAGCTCAAACTCTTATGTCCCTGCCACCTATGTGGGAGACCTGGATTAAGATCCTAGCTCCTGGCTTCAGCTTGGCCCACCTCTGTGTGTTGCAGGCATTTGGAGAGTGAATCAGCAGATGGAAGATCATTGTCTTTCTCTCTTTCAAATAAAAAAAATTTTTTTAAAATTAAAAAGCTGAACGGAAAATCAGTGGCTCTTCTAAGATTCATAAGAGAATTAATGGCAGTGAAAGCTGCTGTCCTGAAAACTAGATAGTTGGATATAAGAATCACAGGAATTACTGGGACAGGCCAGAACAGAAGCTCACAGCAGGTACCAATAGTGGTGGGAACAGTTAATGTGACTGATGAACTGATAAAGCACAACGTGGATGAGCCTGAGAGTTAAAAACACCAGGGCCTAGTCTTAGTGGGCTCACACATCATTTTGAGTTTTAACTGCAGGAGCCCCACTAGATTTTTAGGGTGAAAATTAGACAAAAATCCTCTGCTGTTCTAACTAGGGGAGGACAAAAGCAGCAATTTTGAAATACTCTCCATTTTCAAATACCCTCAGAGTATTCTCTTCTCCTTAACAAATGCCTGTCCTCAAAAATAACTGAATTTGGAGCAGGTGTTTAGCTTAGCCTTTCAGACACCTGCATCTCACAACAGAGTGCCTGAGTTTGATTCTGGCTCCTTACTACAGGTTTCTGCTAATGCAGATCCTGGGAGTCACCAATGATGTCTCAAGTAATTGGGTTTCCGGCTGGCGCCGTAGCTCACTAGGCTAATCCTCTGCCTGTGGCGCCAGCACCCTGGGTTCTAGTCCCAGATGGGGCACCGGATTCTGTCCTGGTTGGCCCTCTTCCAGGCCAGCTCTCTGCTGTGGCCTGGGAGTGCAGTGGAGGATGGCCCAAGTGCTTGGGCCCTGCACCCGCATGGGAGACCAGGAGGAAGCACCTGGCTCCTGGCTTCGGATCGGCACAGCGCACCATTTGCGGGGTGAACCAACGGCAAAGGAAGACCTTTCTCCCTGTCTCTCTCTCTCTCACTGTCTAACTCTTCCTGTCAAAAATAATAAAATTAATTGGGTTTCCACCACCCACCTGGGAAGACACCTGGGCTGCACTCCTGGCTCCTGGCCAGCCCTGGACATGGTGGACATTTGGGCAGTGAACCAGTGGATGGCAAAATTTTTTTTTAAAGATTTATTTTATTTATTTGAAAAAGTTACAGAAAAAGGTAGAGACAGAGAGAGGTCTTCCATCCTCTGGTTCAATCCCTAGATGGCTGCAACAGCCGGAGCTGTGACAATCCAAAGCCAGGAGCTAGGAGCTTCTTCTGGGTCTCCCACGCGGGTGCAGGGGCCCAAGGACTTGGGCCATCTTCTACTGCTTTCCCAGGCCATAGCAGAGAGCTGGATCAGAAGAAGAGCAGCTGGGACCAGCACTGGCGCCCATATCGGATGCCAGTGCTTCAAGCCAGGGCATTAACCTGCTGCGCCACAGCGCCGGCCCACAAATGTCTTTCAAAGAAAAATAAAACAAACTTAAAACTGACTTGTGCCAGTGCCTAACCAACCTATGGAAATAGACAACTCAAGCCCATTCTAGTCTTCCTGTCTCACCCACAGGGTAGTTGTGGCAGCGGGGTGGGGTTGTAGATGATGGCAGTTAGGCAGGTCACAGCCCAGGTTCACAAAAAAGAATGAGATCTATACACAGCATGTTTCCCCATCCTCCACCTGACAACCATATCAATCACGGGATTACAGCAGAAAGAGCTGCCTCAGACTCTGAGAAGTTCCTAGGGAAACCCAAAGACAGTAAGAGACAAAAACAAGGACAATAGAAGAATAGCCTCTGATATTTACAACTGCGACAAACACAGTGTAATTCATAAAGATAAACATAAGATCTTATACTTTTTAAAGGCCCTTTTACCTCAGTTCCTTTCACCCCACTCATCATGTTCAGCTATAAACAAAAAATAACAAGCATGCTAAGCTGCTAAAAATAGTCTAAAGATACAAAGTAAGCATTAGAACCACATTCACAGCAGATGATAGACATTTTGGAACTGTCAGATTTGGAATTTAAAATGAGTATGATTATAATGCTAAGGGCTCTAATGCAAACAGTGGACAATGTGCAAGAAAACATGGGTTAAAAAAAAAAAAGAGAGACAGAGGAAATGCTGTAAATCACCAACACACTAAAAGAAATGAACAATGCCTTTGAGGGATCATCAGTAGACTAGACCCAGTTGAGGAAGAATCAATGAGCTTGAAAATGTTGAGACTTCCCCACAGCAAAAAGTAAAGAGAAAAAATGATGAAAAAAAGAAAGGAAGGTATAAGAGCTGTGGAACAATTATAAAAGGCATCGCATATGAGTGTAATGGGAATATCATAAGAAAGAAACAAAAGATCTGAATTAATAATGGCTGAGAATTTTCCAGAATTAGTGACAGACAACCATAAATCTAGGAAGCTCTGAGAATATCAAGTAAGATAAATGCCAAAAAATGTACACCTACACATGTCATATTCAAGCAGCAAAAAATTAAGCACAAAAAATACACAAGACTTGCTGCATATAGTGGTAGAAGGTTGGTATTTTTCCCTTTCTTCTTTGGGAATTCATCCACAAACAACATGAAGGGAAATAAAATCTCTAAACCCTGAAAAACACGGAAAAATCTGAACGATAATAGAGATTGAAGGGGTGTATTAATCAGTGCAAATTAAAAAAGAATATGTGAAGAAACAGGGCACAGTCAGCTTGCCTAGAGTTCTCGGACAGCCTGTTTCGAAGAATGAAACACACTCCTGGTCTCCAACAGCAGGTGCTCCCCTCAACCTACTACGGCTTCAGAGATGACAGGACCAAAAGTGAAATCTCACAGATGATCATCTTATTACAATTTTCTCATCAAATACTATTATCAAAGTATAGAAGAATCGTATTTAAATTGTATTTAAATTCCTGGGGCTGGTGCTGTGGTGTAGTGGGCTAAAACTCCTGCCTGTGGCACCAGCATCCTATAAGGGCACTGGTTTTGAGTCCCAGCTGCTCTCTCCTGATCCAGCTCTCTAATATAGCCTGGGAAAGCAGTAGAAGATGGCCCAAGTGCTTGGGCCTCTGCACCTACATGAGACCCAGAAGAAGCTCCTGGCTCCTGGCTTTGGATTGGGCCAGCTCTGGCTGCTGTGGCCATTAGGGGAGTGAAACAGCGGATAGAAGACCACTCTCTGTCTCTCCCTCTCTCTGTAACTCTACCTATCAAAATAAATAAATACTAAAAAAATAATAAATTAGATTCCTTTTAGGAAGATTTGAACCCAAAGGCGTGTAATGTGGACTTAAGTTCCACTTTATATCGATGAAGTAACTTTATAACTTTAATGCCCAAGAGCATTATTCACATAATAAAAACAAATACCTGTTTTTTCCTAGGTCGTCGTTTTTTGTAAGTTACTGGTTGAGTCTCTGGAACACGTGTTCTGTTTGTTTCAGTGGTTCTTCTGCTTTCTGTTTTCTCTCTCTCACCTAAAAGTTGAAATACTGGCATCAGGAATTGCTTCACATTAAAGAAAAATGAAGAATTATATTTTTAAAGCTCATCATGAAATTCCTTTTTATTTTTTAGCTAATCATAAGAAAAAAAGTCTTTAATTTTTTTCTTTCAAATCTGGAAGCAATATGGCACAAAGATCACAGCTGTTGAAGACCAGAGGAGGGATATTTTAAGTCTGATTCTTTTATGTGTCTTTTAAAAAGTCATCTTAACTCCCTGAAACTATCTTTTCATAAAAAAAGGGAAAATATTTCTTATGATAACATTTATGGGAACGCAACACAACATAAATATAACCCTTTTCTCACTTCTTTAAATTTCATAGTAAATTTAGTAAGACAAGAAATAAAAGTATCTATAACTGAAAAGAAATAAGAAATGTAGCTGTTAAAAGACAGAAAGCGATAAAGAATCTACAAATAAAAGAGATTATCAAGATAGTTGGACATAAGATCAATATGTGATAAACAACAGGATTTCTAAATATTAGCAGCAATTAAATAATTAAAACTGAAATATACTACATATAATAGCAACAAAAATACAACAATCTTAGGAATAACCCTAGTACAGCTGGTACAAGATGTATATGCAATAAATTGTTAACTTTTAATACATTAATAAATGTTAAGGAAGATTTACTATATATATTTGTGTATATGTATAAACACGTGAGAGAAATATATCTTGTATATACATAAGAAGATTTAATATAATTGTGTCAGTTCTGAAATGACCTAATGCAATTTCAAAAAAATTTCAGCAGAATTATTTGTATAATTTAAGATTCTAAAATTCTGCATTAGGAGAGGTACTCCACCTTGAACTCTAAGCACTCTTAAAGTTCTTGCTGAAAAATCAAGGCTTATTCATCATCTCTTGATACTGCACATTTTTAGTGAGTTGATAAGCAACCAAGTGGGTCAAGGATATCACAACATGATCAACTGCTTTCTACTGGAGGAGGATACTGTCTTCCCATCTACTACAGTGTTTTATAATTCACTCAAAAAGTGCTAAAGCTGGCCCTTGCTTCTGAGTGTCTCAGCTGAAATACAAACAGCCTACTTTCTGCATACCATCTATTTAGACCCACTGTATTGCTCATGGACTTTGGGGCAGGGGAAAACAACCACACCCGTGCTGATGCCATGCTCCTTGTTATAGTGCAATAAACTGTCTTACTTACTTGGACTAACAAAGTCTACCTTTGGCACCTAGGGGGTGGTAGAAGGTTTACTGCTTATAATCCTCTATTGGCTGAGTCTTTTTCATGACAATATGGAAGCCCGAAACACCAAGAATATTTAAGGTACCATTGAAAAACAGTGTGATTGCCCTACCACATACTGGATTATTACAAAACTACAGTAATTGAGACAATATGGTATTACTGCATGAAGAGACCGAGAGACCTAAACACTACATATTTGTTGTGATCTAGTCAGGAAAAAGAAAACCATACTAGCTATGAATGGAAAGACTGTACACATTGGGAGAATTGCTTAAATGGGTGCTGCAGGACTAAAAAAGGAAATGATAAATTAACATACTGATAGGCAAATTCATAATTATAGTTGGAGATTTCAACTATTGTCATAATAATTAATAAGTCAGCAAGAAACAAGCAAGGATACAGAACACTTGAATGGCACTAAAAAAACCTGACCAAATTGAAATTTTAAAATACTCCATTCAACAAAAGCAGAGCAGCTGGCACTATGGCATGGGGGTTAAACTGTTGCTTGTGATGCCAGTGTCCCATATTGGAGTACCACTTCATGTTCTGGAAGCTGTTTCCAATCCAGCTCCCTGCTAATGTGCCTGGAAGGCACTTGGGCCACCGCCACCCAAATGGGAGATCAGAATGGAGATTCTGCTTGTTGTAGCCATTTGGGGAGAAAAACCAGCAGATGGAAGATCTCTCTCTCTTTGTCGCTCTTTCAAAAAAATAAATACATCTTAAAAAAAAAACTCAAAATAAACAAATACATTCTTCTCAATTGCATATCAACAGATACTAAAACAGATCATACTCTAAGCCATAAAATAAATGTTAGAAAGAAAAATTCTAGTAACCATATTCTAAGACTGAAACAGAACAAAACTGGAAATTATGTTAGATACCTGGAATATCCTTAAATATTTGGAATTTAAACAAGTGCAAAAATTCATGGACTACAACTAAAATAGTGATTAGAAATGAATTTATAATATTAAATGAAATATTAGGCATCTTTGAAGAAAAAGCAACTCATATATACAGACAAAAAGTCAAGTTGGGGCCAGTGAGATGGTACAGCAGGTTAAAGCTGCCACCTGCAGTGCCAGCATCTCATATGGGCGCAGTTCGGGTCCTGGCTGCTCCACTTCCAATCCAGCTCTCTGCTACGGTCTGGGAAAGCAGCACAAGGTGGACCAAGTCCTTGGGCCCCTGCACCTATGTGGGAGATCGGAAGAATTTCTTGGCTCCTGGCTTCAGATCAGCACAGTTCCGGCTGTTGCAGCCAATTGGGGAGTGAACCAGTGGATGGAAGACCTCTCTCTTTCTGCCTCTGCCTCTCTGTAACTCTGCCTTTCAAATAAATAAATAAATCTTAGGGGAAAAAAAAAAGTCAAGTTAAGGGGCCATTGTTGTGGCTAGTAGCAATGCCAACATCTCATATGGCCACCGGCTCCACTTCCAACCCAGCTGCATGTTAATTCACCTGGGAAAGCAGTGGAAGATGGTCCAAGTGCCTGAGTCCCTGTACCCCGTGTGGAAGACCTGGATGGAGTACCTAGATCCTGGCTTTGGCCTGGTCCAGCCCTAGCTGATGCAGTCATTTGAGGAGTAAAGTAGAAAATGGAATCTCTCTTGTCTTTCTCTAACTCTTTCAAATCAATCTTAAAAAAAAAAGTTAATGACAGTCAAAATCAGAAAATGAAGGAGTGCTTGCAAAACTGAGAAAGATGTATATTCTAAAAAGTACTAAATTTGTCAAATTTCTTTTTAATCCAAAAGAAATAGATATTCTTGGGCATGTAAAATTTTAGAAATCATAGTATCTACAAGACATTTTCTTGGAAAAAAAATCTAGCCAAAACAATAAATAAATCAAAAGGGAGAGAAATGAGGGAACTACCAGAGGACTAGAGATAAATGCTTAAATCAATTTAAATAAAGATTAAACTAGTATGGGAACTATGGCTAGAAAATAATGCTCCTAATCTTTTAACATACTAAATATAACTGAGAAAAGTTGAGGATTGCCAAAAATCAATCAACAGTTTAAAGTTTAATTTTATACTTACTGATACAACCTCTCAAAGCACTTCATATTCTTTATTTTGGAAGAATCATTCCGGTTAATGATATATTTCTTGTGAAATATTTTTCTAAAATTCATTGAATCCTACAGTTTTGCTTTTAAAACAATTAAATATAGGGGGTAAGGTGACTGGCCTAGAGATTAAGATATCTTAATCTTATATTGGAGAGCCTGGGTTAAAGTTCCAGCTCTGCTTTGGATTCTAGCTTCTTGCCAAGGTGCACCCTAGCAGATAGCAGGTGATGGTTGAAGTGGTTGGGTCTCTGCCACCCATGTGGGAAAATCAGATAAAGTTCCTGGCTCTCAGCTTTGGCCCCCAGGCTCCTAGCTTCAGCTTCAACTGGAGGTTGTTAAGGACATTTGGGGAGTGAACTGGTGGACAGGAGTACACGCGCTCTCTCTCTCATTCCCTCTATTTCTTTAAAACAAATAAAATGAAAAAAAAAAATTAAATGTAAATGTTTTTAAAAGTAACATAGGTGACCTGGTCACATTTTTCTAAATTTTTGTTTTGTTTTCAATCTATCCATTCTCCTATTGAGGCAGTCCATCTCAGCATTTAAGGAAATGGGCTCTTATTTTGAATTCTGGTTCTGATCTGTGTATATACCGTATGACTGAGGGCATTTTCTTTATTAACTTCTTTTTGTCTCTGCTTTCCATCTAAAATACAGATTAAAAAGAATTACTGATCTCAGAAAGCTGTTTTGAGGATTAAACAAGTTTATATACAAAAGCTTTTAGCTCAAATATTAATTTTATTGAATGTTGGTGAGTTTTTCTGTGTAGAAGGAATTAGGATGATTTGTATTCTTGTAGTATTTCTGAATTACTGAATTTTTTCCTCCTAAACACATGCCAATTTTACACACAAAAAATTAGCTCTCTTTTAATTGTAATGAGAGGATATCCAAGAGAACTTAAGAAAATTGGATTTTTTTTTTAGACATATACATTACTGGCATCTAACAAAATGTCAAAACAGGTCTGTCATAATACCTTATAGTCTCCACAGTCACACTCAATATCAAGTCACTCAGTAATGATGTCATGATCTTCAGCAGTTTAATTATTGATGAACTGTATAGAGTATATATAAGACTGTGTACTGTTTGAATTTTGTACTATGACATTAAAATTCCAGGAAAATTCTCACAGTATTCTAGCTTAGAATTATAATTCCTAGTCATTTTGCAGCTATAGATAAAAAAAAAACAATCTGGAACTCTACCAGTGCTGGACAAATAATTTCACTGATAAAACTCAATTTTCTCATTTTTAAAATGGGAATGGCAATAATATTTGTGAATGTACATGTTTTAGAGATGCTTTTACAAATATGTTAGCTAACAGTGACATCATCAAACTGCCAGTTATGAAAAAACTTACTAGGCATCTGGCATTAAAGTTGGTACCTTATAAGTAAGGAGAAATAAAGCTAATTTCACTATAAATATTTTTAGTTTGATAAATATTTAGAGTTGGATTTATAAGGTTTAAAAATCTCTGCACTAGTACAGCATCAAGAATATAAGGTAGGGTCAGTAAGTATTTGTTAAATGAATATATACTCATTTTTAATCAAATTATAATTGAAAATAGCTAGGGACTGCCTTTAAGAATTTAATTTTTGGAAGATTTATTTATTTATTGGAAAGGCAGAGTGATGGGGTTGGGGGAGAACACTTCCATCTGTTGATTTTCCCCAAATGGCTGGACAGTCAGGTCTGGGTTACTTTAGTGTCAGAAACTCCATACTGGGCCGGCGCCGTGGCTCAATAGGCTAATCCTCCACCTTGCGGCGCCGGCACACCAGGTTCTAGTCCCGGTTGGGGCGCTGGATTCTGTCCCGGTTGCCCCTCTTCCAGGCCAGCTCTCTGCTGTGGCCCGGGAGTGCAGTGGAGGATGGCCCAAGTGCTTGGGCCCTGCACCCCATGGGAGACCAGGAAAAGCACCTGGATCCTGGCTCCTGCCATTGGATCAGCGCGGTGCGCCGGCTGCAGCGGCGGCCATTGGAGGGTGAACCAACGGCAAAGGAAGACCTTACTCTCTCTGTCTCTCTCTCTCACTGTCCACTCTGCCTGTCAAAAAAAAAAAATAAATAAATAAATAAAAAAAAAAAAAAAGAAACTCCATACTGGTCTCACACATAAGTGGTAGGACCTGAGTACTTGGGCTTTCTTTTGCTGCATTCCTAGGTGCAGGAAGCTGGATAGGAAGTAGAGCAGCCAAGAGTAAAATCAGCACTCTGATATGGGATGACAGTGCTGCAAGCAGAGGCTTAAACAGCTGCACTACAATGTGGGATCCTGTGTTGTTTTTTTTTTTTTTGAAAAGGCAGACACAAGAATGATCATCCATCTGCTAGTTCACTCCCCAAATGCTCTAATACCCAGGACCAGGCCAAAGCCAGGAGCCCAGAACTCCATCTGAGTCTTTGTTTCACATGGGTAGAAAGGACCCAAGTAATTGAGTCATCACTGATGCCTTCTAAAGGTGTACAACAGCTAATGTTGGAATCAGAAGCAGAGCTGGGATTTGAAAATAGGCAGTCCAATATGGGATGCAGGTATTCCAAGCAGTGTCTTACCTGCTATGTCAAATCCTGCTCCTGCAATGGTTTTTTTGGATATTGCTTTTTAAACCTAGCAATATTAAAAAAAAAAAAAAGAATTATTTATTTGAAAGGCAGAGTTACAGAGAGGCAGAAAGACATCTTCCATCGGCTGGTTCACTCCCCAAATGGCCAAATGGCTGGAGCTGGGCCGATCTGAAGCCAGGGGCCAGGAGCCTCTTCCAGGTCTTCCATGTGGGTGTAGGAGCCCAAAGACTTCAGCCATCTTCCACTGCTTTCTCAGGCCATTGCAGAGAACTGGATCAGAAGTGGAGCAGCTGGGACTTGAACTGGCACTCATAAGGGAAGCTGGCACTGCAAGTGGCAGCTTTACCTGCTATATAACAGCGCTGGCTCCATCCAGCAACGTCTTTTATAAAACAAGTGAACATAAATGCAATAAGGAGGGTATACAGATTACATATATAGTCATTTCTCATTATTCATAAATTCCACTTATTTGCAAATCTATCTATCTGCTAAAATTTGTCTAAATCCAAAATCAATGCCCAGGGTACTTTTAGGGTCACTGGTGGACATGTGGCAAGCAGTGAAAAATCCTGAGTTGCTGGATGTGTATATCCCACAGCTAAGGTCAAACAAATTGACATGTCTCATTTTAGCCCTCATACTACAAACAAGTATGTTTTTCAAGGTTTACTTAGTAAATACTTTTTTTTATTTTTGTTGATTTCACTGATGAAAACTGCCCCCACCTGTTAGTACTTTCAATGAAAGAAGGCTATGATGTGCCTTATGATAAACTTACATGTGTTACACAAGCTCGAATCAGGCCTGACATAGTTGTTAGTGATTCAGTGGTAATGAGTCATCAATATATATTAAATAAATGTCTGTAAACACACATAAATGAGGTCATTTATCGATCAGTTAACAAAAACGTTGTGCCAGCTTACAAGCACCTCTTTATTTTTCCAGTAGTAATAATTCACTATTCACTAATTCATAGTGAATTATAAATTAGTAAAATCTCTCAAAGGTTTTAGTGAACACAACTACTATAAATATCAAGAATTAATTGTATTTTTTTCAGAAAACAATCTGAAGTTGCTGAATATAGTGAAGGTAAAAAAGCAATACTCTAAGCTAGGCAGTCAGAATAGCTAACTTTCTAAATTAAACACCACCCTTAACTAATTCTTCGAAGCTGACTTAAACTCCTCATGCTTCAATTTTCTGAAGTGTGTATTTTTGTGTTATAGTGGTGAAGTCAACATTTGGTTCACTTTCAAGGACACACCAAATGCACATCTAAAACTGGAGTACTGGTACTTACTTTGAAGAGTTTCCTCTCTTTCCTCTTCTTCATCAAAGTCTTCTCTCCAGCTTCTATATTTCAGCTTAGATAAGAGATTCTTGTGAGACCTAAATAAATCATGAAAGCTTAAGATAGGTTCCTGAAAGAGTAATAAAGTTATAGGAAAAAGGTAGACAATTTATCTTATTCTGCTTTTAAATCTACTTTGGCCCACTTCATATGGTGCTCTCCTTGCTTAGTGCCCCATCTTAACCTTTGACCCAGATTTCTGTTGTCATACTTCTCTCTCTCCTACCTCCCATTTTCTTCATTTCATCCACTCAGAAATCAAGACTCTTATGGCCTTTCAACCAGACCAAGAGAAAAAATAAAAAAAAAACCCTCAAAATACAGAGTATTAAACTTTTATTATCTCCTATGGCTTCCATTTCCCAAGAGAAAATTCCAAAATCCCTTTACATGATGGTAGATAGCCTTGTTGATACAAGATGTGGCATAATTGTCTGATGCCTTACAAAGCTCGTATTTTATAAATGACCAAAGTAGGATTAAAAAAGCAGTTTGCAGGCCGGTGCTGCGGCTCACTAGGCTAATCCTCCGCCTTGCAGCGCTGGCACACCGGGTTCTAGTCCCGGTCGGGGCACCAGATTCTGTCCCGGTTGCCCCTCTTCCAGGCCAGCTCTCTGCTGTGGCCAGGGAGTGCAGTGGAGGATGGCCCAAGTGCTTGGGCCCTGCACCCCATGGGAGACCAGGATAAGCACCTGGCTCCTGCCATCGCATCAGCGCGGTACGCCGGCTGCAGCGTGCCGGCCGCGGCAGCCATTGGAGGGTGAACCAACGGCAAAGGAAGACCTAAGCTTCGGCAGCTCTAATATTGCTACTGAAAAGGTGCACTGTTTTAGCTACATTTTTATTCCTATTTTTATTCCAGCGGTGGGGAATATCTGGCCCACCGGCCACATAAGATCTACCAAATCATTTGGTCAGGCCCTGTCAAGGCAACTCAGGATTCAAAATTCAGTAACTCTATAGCAGGCTAATTTTTTAAATTCATAATTTTGTATGGCCATGAATGTTACAAATATTCAAATGGTTTTGGCGGAAAAAAATGTTCTCTACCCCTTCATGGTACCAGTTAATCCCTGCTGTCCCTTCTAAAATTTTCTATTGTGCTCTCTGGAATACCATTCTCAACTTCCTTCACCAGCTCCTCTTTGCCTGGTATAAAATTTAATTCTCTTCTGATGACAATTCTTCTCTCTTTTATGGCTTTATCAAGTAGAGACTGGTTTAATCTTCCACCCTCCATAAAGGACCCTAGAGATGAATCTTTATAGTTTCTATTTCTAAATGAATGCCACTTTCAGAATCCTGCTTCCATAGAAACCTTAGCCCTTTAGGATCCATGCATCTGAGGTCTATCACCTTTTATCATTCTTCATAGCCATTCTCTTTCCATCCAAGCACTTCCCATCATTCACAGATCTTTCTGTATACTTAAGTGATACCATTATGAATTACTTCAGTGTTCTCATAGACAACCCATATTATCCTGGCCTCTCAATTCCTCATCTCCAAAAATCTCCACACCAAGTCAGCCACCCTTTCCCACATTTCTACTTGGCATCCCAGCTGCTCTATTTCTGAAATCATTCATGCAGACTTTCTGTTCTCAGAACATGTTACATTGTCTGTTACAGCATTTCTAGTAGATCAAATACTGTGTTCCAGTAATTTCATAAGACTGAAATTTGGAACACTCTTCAGAAATGCAACTCCCATCCTCTCCCTGCCCCAGCAACTTGTCTTTGTTTCTCTGACAGAAAAATAAATTACTAAACAATTGCTTTAAGTTAAAAAAAAAGTCCCTATACGAGAACTTTCAGAAAGTTCATGGAAAAGGAATTATAAGTTTATTTTGGTGTAAAAAATTTTGAAATTTATGCATATGAGGTACATCCAAAAGTTTCATGAAAATGTCTTATGAAAAAAATGTTAGCTTTTTGCACCAAAATACTTACCTTTAATTCCATTTTGCCATGAACTTTCTGAAGTACCCTTATATGTATATTCCAACAATGGGCTTATAGAAACAATATGGAATAATTCAGGATTCCAGAAGCAAGTCTCTACATCTGGAACGTCAGGGTTGAGGTAAGTGAGTCTTTGAAATAATCTTTTAATCACACCAGTTAAATGGTAGTTACTATAATATATTTAAGTCTGCATGAATTGCTTCAAAGATTTTAAGACAGAAAAGAAAAATGTCAATTTACTTCACCTCAATAAGGATACTGTACCCTCTGAGGATTCAGTTACCGTAGACTGTTTGTCATTAACACTTTAAAAGAAGAAAAAATTTTTAAGAATATAAATAAAACTTTTCACAAGGGTAGTATTTTCCACATAGTCAAGTCATTTCAATTTATAAAAAAAATATTTGGAAAGAAACCCTGGTAATATTAGGACAAATACAGCCCATTACACATGGCTAATTTCTGCCCAGATGTGCTCAAGAGGTATGTTAAATCAAGCCTTCTCAAATAATAGTTAATACTACTATCAAGCATTCATAATTTTTTTTGAAAAAACTTTGATGGTTCCTTAATTTCATGAATTGAAATGTTTTTCTTTAGACCAGCTTTATTGAGGTACAACTGATATATTAAAAGCTACAAACTTAATACCATTTGATGAGTTCAATTTTCTTATCCTCTCCATCAGCCTACCATTGAATTTTAAACTAAATTCCCCTTTGCTGTAGTTGAAATAGCTTTGACAAACACAACATGACCATTTATGCCTCTATGCTTTCCTAGATACTATTCTTGTCCCCTAAAATGACATTTCCACTTCCAACCACCTGTAAAAAATCTTAACCATTCTTCAAGGCCCTGCTTAAGAACAATACTTTTGTGAAGCCGTCCATTTTAACTTCTTCAGTCTACGCATAGACTTGAGCAATGAATAATGTACTGTCTGCTACTACTTGCTTCAAGTCTGTAATCTTATTGACTCAAATAGATCATAAGCACAAAATATTTATTTCATGTAGTCTTGATAATATTTCAATTTTTTAGTACTCTCAGACCTCACAATCATATTTCTGATTCTATATTTGCTTGCATGCTATTAATTACCATTCTGACACTGTTGATTTGATGTTTTATCCCTAATTCTGCTTCCAAGATAGTTTTGGTATTTGCCTGATTGTTAATCTTTACCCTGTCTCTAATTTTGTTTGTGCTCTCTGGTGAATTGCAAGTTCTAATGTTTGGTAGTTAATTAGGCACCAAACATATCAAGTTAATTAAGATGCTTTAAAGCTAATTAAGAACCTTCAGAGTTCTCATTCTACTAGACAGGTAAACATAAATTACATCATTTTATAGAGGTGTGACTTAGTGTTTTGAGTGCACAAAAGTAACAACTCTGTTCAGAGAGCTGGGCAAGACCTCATAAAGCAAGTAAGAGTTTGCCTTGGGGGAAATAATTCAAAAAAAAAGATATTCAAAACAGAATAAATCAGGCAAAGATAGAAAAAACCTGTAATATTTTAAGATCTGTGAGAAGTTCTGTGCTGCTAGGAATCACCAGGCATGTGAGCAAGAAGTGGCATTAATGCTAAGGGATGTAATGGTACCATTGTCTCCCTTATCTGTGCAGCATATTTTCAAAATCTCCAGTCGAAACAAGAGAAACTCCTCATTCATGGTTTTGTCTGAAAATATTAAATGGAAAATTCCAGGAATATTACCCAAGTTTTAAATTGCCTGCTCTTCTGAGTAGAATGATGAAATCTTGAACTGTTTGTTCACTTCTATCCTGCCTAGGACATGAATTATTCCTTTATCCAGTGTATCTATTCTACATCTCCATCTATCCATTAGTCACTTGGTAGCCATCCTGATTACTTACAAGATCAACTGTCATAGTTTCTATTATTTTACTTAATAATGGCTTCAAAGTGCAAGAGAGTGATGCTGGCAATTTGGATATGCAAAATGTCATAAAGTGCTTCCTTTAAGTGAAACATTTCAATAATGAAAGAAAATCAATCAGATGTGGAGGTTACTAAGACCTATGGTAAGAATGCATCTTCTATGAAATTGTGAAGGAAAAGGAAACTCATGTTAGTTTTGCTGTTGCAACTCAAACTACAAAACTTACTGCAACCATATACCACGTTCAATTATAGAGATCAGTTCTCTATGGTTTTGGCACCCACTGGAGGTCCTGGAAGAGGTCTCCCACAGATAAGGGGAGACCACTATATGGACAATGATTTCCAGTACAACAAGGTTCTGTAACTCAGAACATGTTTTCTGTTCATGTCTTTCAGAGAGTTTTAACTAAGCACTTAGCAGGCACTATGGCCATACCTTCTGCAGTTTGATTTTCTAAACAAAATATAATAATTGGTCAATACAAATTAAATCTTTACCTCTCAAAATCTTAGGAAAAAAAAAAAGTCAATGAAGAATTAAGTCTTCACTACAGCTTTTGGGAAGATGAAATAATGAGTGGCAGGCCATGCTGATAAACAAAAGGATGGGCCACTATAAGAAAACTGAGCCTCAGTCCTGAGGTGTGGGGTCTACTGTACATCCAGTTTGCATCCCTATCCCCATCTCTAGAGTATTAGTTAAGATAGGGCCTCAGGAGTGGGCACTGTGGCACAGCAGTTGTCTCTTGAGGTGTTCTAGCCTACTTCCTCTTCTGATCCAGCTTCCTGTTAATGCACACCAAGGGAGGTTGCAGTTTATGGCAAAAGTACTTGGTTCCCTGCCACCCATGAGATGTGAATTGAGTTTCTGGTTCCTGGCTTGGGCCTGGACCAGTCCTGGTTGTTGCAGGCAATTGGGGAGTGAAGTGGTAGATAGAAGGTCTGTCATTCTGCCTTTCAAATAAATAAATCTTAAAATAAACAAAGAAACAAATAAATAAAAAGATGGGGTCCATGTAGCACCTAAGTAATGGTGCGAAGAAAAAACAGTATATTACATCTGTTATCAAATACATCTATTCAGGGATCACAGGGATTTGACTATCTGGCCTTGGATTAAGATGGAAGAACACAGATAACAGACCAGGAGTTTAACAGAAAAAAAGATCTTTATAAGGGAGAGTTGCATCTTCCTCATTAGTTTCTAAAGAAATAGTAGGGGCCGGGCTGGCGCTGTGGCGCAGTGGGTTAACACCCTGGCCTGAAGCGCTGGCATCCCATATGGGCACCGTTCTAGTCCCAGCTGCTCCTCTTCTGATCCAGCTCTCTGCTATGGCCTGGGAAAGCAGTAGAAGATGGCCCAAGTCCTTGGGCCCCTGTACCCACGTGGGAGACCTGGAAGAAGCTCCTGGCTCCTGGCTTTGGATCAGAGCAGTTCTCAGCCAATTAGGGAGTGAACCATCGGATGGAAGACACTCTCTCTCTCTCTCTCTGCCTTTCCTCTCTGTGTAACTCTGACTCTCAAGTAAAAAATAAGTAAATCTTAAAAAAAAAAAAAAAAAAAGTAGGGGCCAGCACTGTGGTATAGTGGACTGAGCCTCCACCTGTGGCACCAGTTCTAGTCCTTACTTCTCTTCTGATCTAGCTCTCTGGTATGGCCTGGAAAAGCAGTAGAAGTTGGTCCAAGTACTTGGGCCCCTGCACCTGCATGGGAGACCTTGCAGAAGAAGCTCCTGACTCCTGGCCTAGCTCTGGCCATTGTGGCCATTTGGGAAGTGAACCAGTGGCTAGAAGACTTTTCTCTCTCCCTCTCTCTGCTACCTCTACTTCTCAAATAAATAAATTAATAAAAAAATCTAAAAAAAGGAAAAGTAAAAATCACCCTTGAAAATCCTAAAGAAAAAACAATTTTGGAGGCAAAACTAATGTCTCTCAATATGCAGGACTGACACCATCAATTTTTCTCCATCACTGGAGCAAATCACTATTTCTTTAGCTGAGCACCAGATGAAGCAGTTAGCTTATGCTTAAAGATACATCAACACTACTTTTTTTTTCTTGACAGGCAGATTTAGACAGTGAGAGAGAGAGAGAGACAGAGAGAAAGGTCTTCCTTTCCGTTTGTTCACACCCCAAATAGCTGCTACGGCTGGTGCGCTGTGCCAATCCAAAGCCAGGAGCCAGGTGCTTCCTCCTGGTCTCTCATGTGGGTGCAGGGCCCAAACATTTGGGCCATCCTCCACTGCCTTCCCGGGCCACAGCAGAGAGCTGGACTGAAAGAGGAGCAACCAGGACAGAATCCGGCGCCCCAACCTGGACTAGAATCCAGGGTGCTGGCGCTGCAGGCGGAGGATTAGCCTGTTGAGCCGCAGCGCCAGCCAACACTATTTTAAAATACAGAATAACTTCTAGTAGAATGAAACATCGTGAACCACTTGAGGACATGTAGTATCTAAGAGCTAGTAAGGAGCAGAGATGACTCGGGTTTCCAATCTCTACCCTAGTCCTAAGCATACCCTCACTGAGAATGGCAAATGAAATTACATTATTCAAAATGGAATATTTTCTCACTCTGTATTTTTCTTAGCATATATAATTTGTATATGTTAGAAAATAACTACAGTACTCCAATATACCCATTACACATTTTTAATAGTAATGGCTCACTAACTGCACTTTTACATAAAGATAGAACATTCGTAAGACAAAAAATTATGTAATTGATCAGTTTACAAACCTTTTTCCTATATCCGAATTAGTTTCAGTTTCCATTTCAACATCATTGCCATTAGATTTATCTTGAGAAGTCATTGTTCTTGCTCTTTTACTTTCTACTACTTTTGCTGCTGCCTTAAAAAAGGATATGTATGAAGGAGGAAAAGAATGTATTAAGGCATTTTAAAGAAATAGTATTAAATTAAATCTTTTAACTGTTTGATAGTTATAGCAACAAAGTAGTCACAGGGCAGTAAAAGGCCATGTTGTTAGTTTCCCCTTAGTAATATGACACCACTGGCAGCTACTTTAGCTATCTGTCTGGTTTATACCATGATGGTCTTTCTTGTACCTACATTTCATAGATACTATGTTCTCCATACAATTTTAAGATAAAAGGGCCAGGTGTGTGGCACAGTGCTTAAGTTGCCACTTGAGATAACTGTACCCCATATTAGTTTTACTCCCAGCTCTGTTTCTGATCCAGATTCCTGTTAACATATAACCTGGATGGCTCAGGTACCTGGGTCACTGTCACTCATGTGGGAAACCTGGATGCAATTCCAAATTCATGGCTTCAGTATGGCTCAGCCATACATATTGTGGGCATTTGTGGAGTGAACCAAGAGAATGAAGATCAATGTTATCTCTCTCTCTCTGCTCCTTGCTTTGGCCTCCCCAGCCTTGGCTGTTGTGAGCATTTGGGGAGTGAACCAGCAGATGGAAGAGCTTGATCTTTCAATCTCTCTGTCTCTCAAATAAATAAAAATAAATTAAAATTTTGGATATCTCAAAATAAAACTAATCAAAATTAATCAAGATGTTCCACTTTAATGACATACTAACACTTTTGGAGGCTAAGACAGAATACAACATTCTTCAGAAAAAACTTTAAAGGCTTTCCTTTAAACTAATCTTATCCCCCACCCCCCCAAATGTGTTTAAAATGTACTTAAGGGGCCGGCGTTGTGTCATAGTGGGTAAAGCTGCTGCCTGTGACATTGGCATCCCATATGAGGGCTGGTTCATGTTCCAGCTGCTCCACTTCCGATCCAGCTCCCTGCTAATGCACACAGGAAAGCAGCAGCAGAAGTGAACTCCCAAATGCTTAGACCCCTGCCACCCACATGGGAGATCCGGATGAAGCTCCTGGCTCCTGCCTCAGCCCTAGCTGTGGAGGCCACTTTGGGAATGAACTAGCAAATGAAGATCTCTGTCTCCTTCTCTCTGTATAACTCTTTCAAATAAATAAATCTTTGTTAAAAAAAAAAAAAGTACTTAAATTAAAACTAAGTATGTTTCCACTTATCATTCTTAATTCATTCTGATATTTTCCACTCAACTTTTCTTTCTGAAACTTACAAAAAAGCTGAAGATCATTTATAAACCCTGTAATTACATTCACTACTAATAAATTGTTATCACATTCTACAAAACCACCTTACAAAATTCTGACTAGTTTTCAAGTATTTCTATTTAAAGTATTCTTTCTTTAGTATAACAATTTCTCTTAAGTCTATAGTGTGAATCTCTCCAACAATATGTATACCTTCATTAGAAAGGCTGATGATTTTTCATTTAGCACACAATTCACGTAACTCTTAATTTTCTCCATCATGTGGTTGTAGCTGAAGTGTTGAAAAAAGGAATGGAATGTGTCTTTCTGAGATATTATCATAAGCAACTTTCTTTCTAAAGACTAAAGAAAACAGAAAAAATGTAGTTACATAAATCACAAAATTACAAAAAATTTTGTAACATAACATTTTAAATGTTTATGTTTGTGACAATTATTCACACTGATGTGCTATTTGCAGAAATACTTAATTTCACCACTGGTATAGTATTACATTGACAAAAAAATCATTTATTCATCCATTCTTCCAGCCTGTTGAAGGATTTAGATATGACTATTACTGTAATGCTAAGTATTTTTTTATATATCTTTTTGTTCATAGTACAAGTTTTTCTCAGAAGTAACTCTTCCAATGCTGGCTGTAAACTTAAATTCTCAGGCTCTATCCCAGGTCAACTGTTGTAATGAGATCTAGGATTTTTGTCTTAAAGCTTCCTGGCTTTTAAAATGTGCAGTGACAGTGAAAACAGCTATTCTAGGATATTTGCTGGAATGCATGCTTACAAATTTTGCTAAGATACTCTCCAAAGTTTAAACATCGATTTACTTAAGAGAGGAAGTTATGCAGGCAGGATCACTTCTCTACTGTTTGAGCCAACTGCTGGTACTGCTGCCACTATGAAGGACAGCAAATGATATTTTAACGAATTGTTTGGTATTATCTTCATAACAAATACTAGTTTAAGAGATTAAGCACTGACTTTTAACCTTTAAAACTTACAGGCAGTAAGTTTTCCTCTGTTGTGAGATATAAGCAGAGTGGAGTTTTTAGTAGTCTAACAATGATAAGGAGAAAGCATAGGGAAAGAAAACACAAGACACACATCAGGCTATCAGCTGAAATTTCTGGAGGCTAGGAACATGGTCAATCTGGATAGAATAAGCTTTAGCAAAATTGCAACCCACTGCCAATTAGGCTTAGTCCCTCATTAGTTACTTGTCAGAGAAGCAGAAATTAAAACCCACTGTGATAATACTACTTATCTGCCAGAATGGCTAATAATCTCAGATAAGGTCTGTGGAGCAACAGGAACTCTCCTACACTTTAGAGGAATTGTCCTAAGTTTGCAAAATAGTTTGGTGGTATCGAATAAAACTGAGTATGCTTATATCCTATGATTCATCCATTCTATTCCTAAGTGTATACTCAAAACAAATACATACATTAATCCTACAAAACATAAAAAGATACTGAAATAAAAATTGGAAATAACTCAAATGTCCACCAATTGTAGTATGCAAACTATTGGCACAAGCCACAATGGTTATATGGTTTCAATCTTACAAATATAAACTTGCAATATGATTCCATTACATAAAGTTCAGAAAGAACTGAAACTAATTTTCAGTGGTGAAGTCTGGACAGTGGTTACTCTTAGAAAGGTAAACACTTAAAGTAATTGGAAGGTACTGATGAGGTTCTATTAATTGATCTAGGGGTTTGGCATATAAGTGCATTCCTTTTGTGAAAAGATGTGTGTGTACACACACACAGACACATACAAAGACACATGAACTCTTCAAGAGGTATGCTGTTCAATAAAAAGTTCACTAAAACATGTACCATTTTTTATTTGAATGAAGTTAATTCACTTGTTACTTTTTAATATTAAAAAATTGAGGCCTACTTACCTCAACATTATACATAAATACACATAGCTATATATACACACACAAAACCAATGATCAAATAAGAACCCTCTAGAAAAAAATATAAGCAAGTTATACTGCCTTCTTTAGTTGTATTGTCTGATAGGGTACCTACTGGCCACACACAAATAATGAACCCTTGAATGGGGTTAGTCTGAATATAGAACTTGCACATGTAAAATATATATTGGATTTTAAAGGCAGTATAAAAAAGAGAACATGCAATATTTCAATATTTTTATTGATTTAAATATTAAAATAATGTTTTCTGATTTTTTAAGTTAAAATGCCACTAAAATTAGTTTCATCTTTTACTTATTTTAAACATGGCTGGCTAGAAAACTTGAAATTCCACACTTGTATGTAACTTGCATAGTTTCTACTGAACAATGTCATCCTATACTGTTTAAAAGATAAAGCATTTCTTTTCTCCTTCAATTTGCTGTCAGTTTTCTTAAATCTATACAATTTTAAAATACTATAATTTCAATTTAAGCAGTTACCGTATAAGATTTTGGATCACCAAATATTCTTTCAAACACTTCCTCTGCTTCCTTAAAATTGCCATTTTCCATACAAACAGCTATAGCCTAAAAGACAGGAAATACACACCTTACACTGCTTTTCAAGAAACTGAACAGTTGTTTAAATAACTCAGTAAGTCCAAAACATTTCATTTAAACGTTTTACATAGTTTAATAATTTTCATTTTATAAGTGATACAAAATACTTTTTCAAAGATAAAATGTGGCTTGAAAAGACATGAAAAATGTTCATTCCTATGCACATATACTAATAAATGCTCACCCTTTTATCTCTAATTTAGGTAAAATTAAAAGCAATAAATAAGAGGCTGTCACCAATAAATAAGAGGCTGTATCATGTATTTAGGACTCCCCTAACTGCCAATTTTGAGCCAAAGGGAAATGAGAGAGAAGTATATGGTATTTGTGATGTTTAGGATATTTAAAATGTGCCAGCTGAATTCCTGAAAAATCTGTAATAGGAACTTAGGAAGGTGGATGATTTATTTTTAAATATTTACTTACTGGGGCTGATGCTGTGGCATATGGGCGTCAAATCAAGTCCCAGCTACTCTACTTCTGATTCAGCTCCATTCTAATGCACCTCAGAAAGCAGCAAAAGATGGCCCAGGTGCTTGGGCCCTTACACCCGCATGGGAGACCTGGAAGACGCTCCTGGCTTTGGCCTGACCCAGCCCCAGCCATTGGGGAGTAAACCAGTGAACAGAAGATCTCTCTCTCTTTCTCTCATTCTCTCTCCCTCCTCCTCTCTCTATTGCTGCCTTTCAAACAAATAAATCTTTAAAAAAAATTTTATATTTATTCAAAAGGCAGAGTTATGGAGAGAAACACATACATACATTTTCTGCTGGTTTATTTCGTCTCCCATGTGGGTGGCAGGGGCCCAAGTACTTGGACCATATTTTGCTGCCTGCCTAGATGCATTAGCAAGAAGCTGGATAAGAAGTTCAATTGCCAGTTCTTGAACTAGGCACTCTGATATGGGATGTAGGTATGTCAAGCTGAGGCTTAATCCACTGCATCACAATGTCCACCCCATCTACTCAATTTAATAATAGTATGTTAACAAAAAGGCCAGCTTCCTTTAGAGCCTGAAAAGACTGGGGTAATATGACAAATCGCTTTTCCCTGAGTTGAATTCTTTTTTGGGAGGAGAGAGGGGACTAATTCTACTTGATAGCCACAACAGTAATTCTTAGAAAGCTGAGGAAAACCACCTGGATTTTCTCTCCTATCTATAGTTATCAAATAAAATTTTTTGAGGGGCTGGTGTTGTGAAGCAACTGGTTAAGCTACCACTTACACACCAGTATTTTTCATACTAATAAATACTCTCCATTCTACCTCTAATTTAGACCAAATTAAAAGCAGGCACTAATAAAGTAAAAGCCATACCATGTACATGTAGTATTTGCTTTGACTGGCAGCAAAATATATTTTTCCCTGCTATCACATCTTTGAATTACTTTTCTGGCTTCTTATTCTTAAATGGTCTATTACATGATTAAAATTTAATATATTCAATCACAAAAATCCTTAATTTATTGAATTGGAATTTTTGTATTTTTCATATTTATAATCCGTAAGCAGAAATTGGGAGAGTACAAATGCTATTTTTCAAGTTGCCTGGTGATCTTTAAATAGATGTGGTACATTCTCTGCTACACAGGAGCAACACATATCTATAAGTTCCAACCTCTTTTGCTCATGCCAAGACTAAAAACCAAAGGTCAAATTTCTAAAAATGAATTACATTAAAACTTGGATTTACTGCCCTATTTCCATCAGGTTCCTCTTAATTTTTTTAGATATTAAATTAAATAGGCATTCATTTTCTAACAAAATAATCATTATAAGCACAGAGTAATCATACCTGAATTTTAATTAAATTCTGTATTTCTTCATGAAGTTTGTCATGTTCCTTTTCAATTGAAGCCCAAATCATAAGGGCTGATTCTAAGGGTGTAATTCGTTCATCATTTTCAAATTGTGCATCTTTTAAAAAACAACAGAAGTACGTAATTTAAAAGCTAAGTAGAATCTTACTTTGTCAGGTTTTTCTATAGTCCTTAATGTGTATACTACTTTCAATACACACTCCATAATAGTACACACTCTTATGCCAGACAAGGCTCTCATAAATACCAGTTTAGGGAAGTGATCTGATTTTCCATATTAACTTATTCATTAAGAACAATATTAAAAAGAGAAAAACATGATGAGACTACAAAGTATTTTAAACTTTTCTTTACTAAAATACTGATATTAAGGGTTAAAATAAACTTTTTTACATAAAGTGTCACAGTAACAGAATTTTTATAAATGGTTTATAGGTCTAACTACATTAAACACAGGACAGGATTTATAAAATATTAATTAAAGGAATATTTATATTATTATTAAACTTTGCTAAAGAAGAATTTTGATCAGGTTATTCTGAATGAAGACATCAGTAACCAATTAGCAAATTATACACAACTCAACATGATACTCAAGAACCTTCACCAGAAGCAGGCAATATGGCACAGCAGATCACACTACCGTTTGAGATGCATGCTTCCCCACATGAGAGGCTGGATTGAATCCTAGCTACTCCACATCCAATCCAGCTGATATGGCTGGTGGGAAGTAAAAGATGATGGCCTAACTTTTCATGTTCCTGCCACCTGCATGGGATACCAGAATTGACTTCCAGGATCCTTGCTTCAGCCTAGACCAGCTGACTGTTACAGGCATCTGAAGAAGTGAACCAGCAGATGAAAGTTATCTGTCTCCTCTGTCTCTCCCACACTCTCTATTTCTCTACCTTTCAAACAAACAAATATATATATAAAAGAACCTTCACTATGTATGTCTTAAATATCTTGCATCTGTAACCTACAAATCATTCAATAAATATATATGGACTATCCATTATATATAAGTACTTGCATAAAAACAGAGTATCTCAAAGAATAAGACAAAGTCCTTAATCTAATGATGCTTGCATGCTACTGGGAGAGGTTAAGTAATAAGCAAATTAATAATACAATTCAGAGTAATAAGGGTTAAAAAAGGAGGAAGTACTGAGAATCAAGACTGGTAAGGGAAGGGAAAGCTCCTTCAGATAACGTAAAAGCAAAGGCTTCTGAGGTAGTGAGAGAAATGAGACCAGCATAATGTGAAGCAGAAGAGTCATACAATGATCTAGAAGAAAAAGGTCCTTGATGAGAATTTGGCATCCAAAGGGCAGGAAAAAAGTCAGTTTGCCAGAACTGTGGGAAAGCTGGATGCATGCCATCAGAAAAACGATATAAGAGACAATTAGTTGTATGATTTGGAATTTATTTTGAATATAGAACAAGGCTGGCTAAAGCACTGGAACCACAGTATGAGGAAAAAAATGGAGGATTCTCAGGTTTTAAGAACTAGATAAGTGACACTGATTTTACAAACACAGCAAGTCTGGATGAAGAGCAGGTTGAGGAAGCTGAGCATGGAAATCAACAGATCCATTAACCAGATAAACTATAGGTTATTTTCAAAATAATGCTAATGTTTCTGTTTTGTCCAGAATCCCATTTTGTATTCTTTCTGACAAAACCTAGCAATCCTTCCAGGTATAATGCAAACTCTACTTCATTCTGGAATAGCTTCCATATGCCAGCTAAGAGACTAGGAAATTTCCTATCTCTAAATCTCATGTATTCTTATTCCTACCTTGTTGTATTTACCCACATAACTCAACAGTGCATTAGCTTTTAGTAGTTTTTTTTAAAAAAATTATTTCATTTTATTCAAAAGGCAGAAGGACAGAGACAGAGTCAAGTTCTATCTGCTGGATCACTCCCCAAATGGCCACAGCAGCCAGGGTTGGGTCAGGTAGAAGCCAGGAGCCAGGAACTCCACCTGGGTCTCCCATGTGGGTGGCAGAGGTCCAAACACTTGGGCCATCTTCCAATGCTCTCCCAGGCACATAAGCAGGCTTAGAAGTGAAACAGCCACAACACCGGCTCTAAGTTTTTCTTGACTGACATAACCTAACCCTCTCACTCATCTACCTTTCTTCTTATAAATCTAAGATATTTTAAAGATTGCTATTATTAGATTTCAGCTTCAAAGTAAGATAAAAACACATATTTACCCAGGGATTTTCCCGCTGCAATTCTTGTCAAAAACTGACATATGTATATTGTTTTCAACTGATATGCTGTTAGATTGGATAGTCCATGAATAATAGCTGAAAAAGAAAAAGGTATATTTTATTAAAATAAAATGAAACTTGATCCAGTGGTACCACTGTGTGGTTTGTTAATAGGTTACAAAGATCTCATAGAAATTATCACAAGATTAGAGTTAAATGTAACTGATACACATGTAGGATAACAAATATTTAAAATTACTTTCACAGGTGGCATTTTTAATAATGAAAAAGAAAATTCAGTTCAAAATTATACTATGTGTCAAGTCACTAGTTGGAAACATTTGATACTATGAACTTTACCTTATCGGAAATATATTACTTCAGTCAAGATTTCAATTGAGAGTCTGTTTAGTTTACAGGGTATATTTTAAAAATGCATTTGTTACTATTAATCTCACAAATATTTGAATACTCATCCAGATGTTATGCCAGCTGGTGAATACATATAATGGTAAGTAAACTAAACTTCTGCACCTCAGCGATCTTATAACTATGCAGTAATGAGACAAATGATTAAACTACTAAAGTAAAAAATGGGTGAAAAACCGAAAAGTACAGTGCCATGGAAGCACAAAAGAAAGGAAACTTGGAATATGCTTAAATATCTTTTCAGGGGAACAGCTGTTAGAGAAGGCTTTTCTGAAAAAATGTCTTAGCTAAGACGTGAAGATTCTACTAACAGCACTGTATCTCAACAAGGGCTTGGGTGGTATATATAAAAAGCTTAAATACCTAGAAAATAAAAAAGTCAGTAAGATGAATATATTTGCCCTTAATTATAAAATCTTAATTCTAAAATACCATAATCTTAAACTGTAACAGAGAATATCTGGGTCAGATATAGCCATAATGGAATTAAGTGGGATTTAAAGAAATCACAAAACTTCTATAAAATTTAAACACAAGGCATTCAATATTTACTAAATACCTACTGCTGGCCAGTGTTAGGAACAAAGGACTCAAAGACAGCAGTGAGTCCTTGTCCCTCATGAAGGTTTTAGTCTAAGACTCTTATTAGAAAATTAATGCAAGGGAATAAAATTTTAATGAGCGCCACAAAGGACAAGTATAGAAGGCCTTCTGAATCCACAGGGTTCCTGCTAGTTCACACTTAAGATATTGGGGGAGGGTGGGATTTGTCTGTACTTAACGTGTACAGACTTTGGGGGCGGGTCATAATTCCTTAAACAATGTAACAATTATCTACTGCACTTACAATATATGAGGTATTATAAATAATCTAGAGAAGATTTAATGTGTACAGGAGAGCATGCATATACTAGGTCATTTTATGTAAGGGACTTCAGCTTGCACAGATACTGTCTTCTAAGGCAGGAGAGAACTCTTGGGGTACTAGGAATGTTTTGTTCTTAATTTGGGTGTTGGTTATGAGTGTGCTCAGAGGACAAAATGTCATTTATCTTTATAATTTTGTGCATTTCTTGATATGTATACTGTATTTCAATAAAATGTTTAAAAAAATACAGCAGGAGAGGGAGGTCCACAAGGATACCAAAGAATAAGGGAAGCAAGGGACAACTTCATAGTATTGGAATATTTTACAAAAGAAAGATCTAATCTATTCTAGGAAAGGAAGTCAGACCCTTTAAGTCTTCACTTCCTTACAAGTTCCCAAAAGATGGGAAGCGAGACAACAAAATGTTCAAAATTTGCATATTCACCAAGAATTAGCAGTAACTTGAAAAAAAGTTCTTAGTTTCCAAGTCCTTAGCATTACAATAGGGGTGGCCCAATTATTTCTCCCCAGGTCTAGAGCTAGAACCTTGAAAGAGTTTTATTTTTTGAAATATACTATCTTATTGACTAGTTTTTAATTGATACTGACTTTACTTACCTAGGTGAGGTAGTGTTTGTAAGGATTCTCTACTATCAAATTACTCTTTGGAAAAGTCACCAGGTGCAATCTATTAGCATAGAGCGATTGTATTAAATTCTGCACGGAACATTTGCCTCTTCCCTTATTTACTAAATCAACCACGCATTTACATCAGTATGGATTCATTTATTCTTACTCTGGGTTATAAACCAATACTTGTTTATTTTTTTACTCTTCTTTCAGCTTTGGCCATTGGGAACTCCTGCAGATAGCTCCGGTGTCCCTTTATAACCCCACTGAGAATGTGGGTTTTTTCTTTTCCTTTCTTTTTGAGTACTTTTATTTTCTAGCACTACAGGATGAATCTTGTTACCTTGCAGATTTTCTGTCTCAGTCCCAGATTCTGTCATTTTTTGAAAAGCAGCCCATTTCTTTTTTGTTGGAGAATGGTATTAGAAACCAAGATCTGCTGTGTTCATTGCTACTAGAGTTGGTTGCTGCTTTGCCCTTTTATGTATAGAGCAAGGAAACTTGTGTATACTAATCTACGTCTGTACATCATATATAAATGTTGCTATACGCATCTCTACTTCTGTCAGCTAGTCAAGAGTTCATCCTGATGTCTCCAACTCTAATCCATTACCACACAGATAATTCTACCCCACTCGGCAAAGAGAACTATTTAACAATTCTAGCAATGGCAAACATGCTTCATGACAAAATTGAATTTTCTAATCACTGTTTATTATCCATGGCTCCAGGATTATCTGCGATACAGAGGAAAGGGCCTGGATCACCCCGCTTTAACTTACACTGCCTTAGGTTAGCTACCTCACTCCTCTACAAGTTAAAATCACTGGCCTAACTCGCGAGATGATCACAAAGTTGCAATTCTCCATGAACTCCCCTAAGGCTATAAATACAAGCGGTCAAAAAGCCGGTGGAAAATCCTCACTGTCTGGTAATTCCACTGTTCCACGTGCTTTTTGAAGCCCCGGTGTATTAACCCACACGGTTCAGTTCAGTGCTGACTCGGAACGAAGGACCACCCCAACTTTCTGTCATCTTCCACACGCCCACGCGGATCTGCCCTCCGGGGCCGTCTTTTATCCATCAATTACAGACAGCAGATTTCTGGGAGTTACTTTGATTCTGGGGCCAAATGAGGCTTACATAACTCACGGGTGAACCCAAAACACTCATACCTGGGGTTCCCCGGCGTCTACAGGGGCTGCTGAATAAATATCACCACAGTACTCCCCGAATAGGAAGGACAGCCCAAAACAAGCGACAAAGGAGACAAAAGGTACTGTCCACAGGGTTGCGTGCATTTTCAAGCATTTTTAACTCGTTTAACCCTGCCTCAACCCTAAACGGGGGTCTTCTTTTCACTTTACCAAGGAGAAAAACTGCGAAGCTGGCAAGAGACAGAACCGAGATTCGAACCCCAGCTCGCCCGAGTCCCAGTCCCACCGCCGAGCCGTCCCCTGACCCCGCGGAGGTTACAACAGGGGACACCAGGCCTCTGCCGCCCGCCACGGTCCCCCGGCAAGTGCGCGCCCCGCACGCACCCTCGGCGCTGTCGCGGGTCCGGTGGAAGGCCTCGGAGCGGCCGTCACGGAAGGCCCGGCAAAGAGACAGGCATAGGAAATCGAGCATCCAGCCGGCAGCCACCGCCTCAGCCTCGGCCACCAGGCCCGCGTCCTCCTCCTCCTCCGGGGTCTCCTCCTGCACTTGGCATTCGAGCAGTTCCTGACACACGAACTGCTCCCGGTCGTCTCTCGGAGTTTCTGTCATCCGCTTCTCCGGGGAGTCGGCATCCTTCCCATCAGCACGGCCCCGCGGGCTCGCAGCCCCCGAGGCGGCGTCCTCCGCCATGTTAAATCGCTCGCGCGGATTCGGTCCTGACTGCAGCAGAGCAACGATTGGCTCGCGCAGGAGGGCAAGGGGCGCGGCTGGAGAGAGCCTCTTCCGCTGGTGGGAAGCCACCAATCACAGTGCCAGAACGGACTAGCGGCTGGAGCCTGACTTATGATTGGCTGAGACAGGCTTCCTTCTGAATTTCCCGCCAGGGAGGCTGAGGCTCGGAGTCTGTCGGTAAACCGGGATATTCCACACTGGGTGCGGACAGAGGTTGGGACCTCGCGGGGCTCCTGTTTCCTCCTTTTCGAATGGGAGACTTGGAACAGCAACGTGGTTATAATAGAAACATATTTTGAGAAATTGAAGCGTAGCACTTTTAGAGCTTCACATTCATCCAACACACTGCATGATCTTAAACCCAGACTGTTCTGATGGACTGCTACTCCTGCTACTCCGGCCTTTCAGTGCCTCAGAATCAGGGCTGGGGGCTTGTTAAAACGCGACCCCCAGCTTGCTGGCGCTGGTTGGAGTCCCGGCTGCCCCACTTCCCGGCCAACTTCGTCTGATGGCCTGGGAAAGCAGGGAGGATGGCCCAAGTGCTTGGGGCCCTGCACCCTTGTGGGAGACCCAGGTGGAGCTCCAGGCTTTGGCCTGGCTCTGGCCTGGCGTTGCTTGCATTAGGGGAGTGAACCAGCGGACAATCTGCTCGCTTTCTCTCCCTCTCCCTCTCTCTCCCTCTCTCTCCCCCTGTCCCTCTAACTCTGCCTTTCAAATAAATAAATAAAATTTTTAAAAAGCAGGACTGCTGAACTCCACCCCCAGTTTGTTCTGCAGGTCTAGATTATGTACAAAGGACTGTCTGTGATGACACAGAGCCTGGGCTAGTGCTGGGATCTTCTCCTGCCCTGCAGCATCTGCTCCTGAAAAACAAATGTTTGGTTTTATTTATTTATTTAAGAGGTAGAGTTACACACACACACACATATACATCTTCCATCCACTGGCTCACTCCCCACATGTCCTTAATGGCTGGAGCTGGGCAGATCCAAAGCCAGAAGCCAGGAGCTTCCTCCGTGGGTGCAGGGTCCCAAGCACTTGGGCCATCTTCCACCGCTTTCCCAGCCATAAGCAGAGAGCTGGGTGGGAAGATGAAGCAGCCAAGGACACGAAGCAACGCTCTTATGGGATACTGGCGCTGCAGGTGGAGGCTTAACCTACCATTTCACAGCGCTGGCCCCATGAATGTTCCTTGTTTAAGTCACCTAGCCCATGGTGTGTTTGTTATAGCAGGTGAGCTGAGTCATCTAGGCAACTCCAAGTTTCCAGACTGCTACTTTGGGGATGGAGGGGGGTGGTGAGTGCGGGTGAGGGTGTCATTCCAAAGTTCTCAAATGGGGCTTTCCTTTCTTTTTCTTTCAGGCCTATCCTACTCTTCCCAGCATGGTTTTCAGAAGTTATTCTTAGGTACGTCAACCAATTCCAAGTCACAAAATAAGCTTAGCACATTCTCCTGACATGGCAATTTACTGAGAGATTTAGGGAAGTAAACTGTCGCTCCCCCTCTTCATGGAGGAACGACACTAAACCCTGCCTAGGCTTCATATCCGAGTCACAGCACCATTATGTCGCTCCCCTTCTTCGCGTAGGAACGACACAGGACCCTGCGCTGTTCTTTTGTCTGCTCGGCCCTCCCCGGGTTTGCTGCTGGTTCTTCCCGGGTTGGCTACCATCCTTTCCACCTCCGTGGAAGGGCGGTTCCCCCTGCTACTTTCCCCACTTCCGTGGGGGAGCGGCACACCGCCGGCCGGCTCTCTCGGGGGCTGCACAGGTGTTCCTTCAGATGTTCCTGGTGCATGTTGTCTCTCTCCTCCTTTATAGTCCTCTTCCACCAATCCCAACTCTGCTACCCACACGCCGAGTACGCTGCTCTCCTCCAATCAGGAGCAGCTCCTACTGTTTTTTGGTTGAACTGGAGGCAGCTGTGTAGAAGCTGTTACTCCCTTCTCAGCGCCATATTGTGGGAGAGCAGATGCATAGAATAAGTCTTAATTCCAGTAACTTAGTCTAGTCCGAGTTGCTCCCAGTTGCTCCCCACAGTAAACCTTTGTGTATATTGAAAACAATGTATGTGAAAAGTATATTTCTGATTAGGGCTAAATCATAATAAATAAATATAAAATATAAATAAAACCTCAATAAAATTTCAGTTTGGGGATTACATGCTACATTCTGTGTCCTCTTCCTGTATTGAAGAGGAAATAGAGGAAATGAGGAAAAATTAAGACTCAGTGGCCTAGCAGGGTCATGAGGAACAAAAGTTATTTCAAAAATCTATACCCACAGATTAGTCATCAATAATATACAGTTTTATTGAGTTGTGGGTCAGGACAGAAGAGGGGTAGCTCATAAAAGTGAAATTAAAAAGTAATTCTTGGAGCCTGCGCTGTGGTATAGAAAGCTAAGTCTCCCCTTGTGGCACCAGCATCCCATACTGGTGCCAGTTCGAGTCTCAGCTGTTGCTTTTCCTATCCAGCTCTCTGCTTATGGCCTGGGAAAACAGTGGAAGATGGCCCAGGCCGGCGCCGCAGCTCAATAGGCTAATCCTCCGCCTGTGGTGCCGGCACACCGGGTTCTAGTCCTGGTCAGGGTGCTGGATTCTGTGCCGGTTTCTCTTCCTGTCCAGCTCTCTGCTGTGGCCTGGGAGTGCAGTGGAGGATGGCCCAAGTTCTTGGGCCCTGTACCCTCATGGGAGACCAGGAGAAGCACCTGGCTCCTGGCTTCGGATCAGGGTGGTACGCGCACCGTAGTGGCCACTGTGGGGGTGAACCAATGGCAAAAGGAAGACCTTTCTCTTTGTCTCTCTCTCTCTCACTCTCCACTCTGCCTGTCAAAAAAAAAAAAAAAAAAAGATGGCCCAAATGCTTAGGCCCCTGCACCCAAGTCGGAGACCCAAAAGAAGCTCCTGGCTCCTGGCTTCAGATCAGCACAGCTCTGCCTGTTGTGGCCAACTGGGAAGTGAATCATCAGATGGAAGACCTCTCTCTCTGTGTCTCTCCCTCTCTGTCTGTAACTCTACCTCTCAAATAAATAAATAAAATATTAAAAAATAAAAAAATGTATTAAAAACTGCCTGCCCAGATGGATGGCAGGTTTATTCTTCTGAAATAATACTTCAATATGCCTTTGACCAGAAAATTCAACTGTCGTAAGTATAGAGCAGTTACAGTAAAACTTAGAATACATAAAGTCCCAATGTCATTGTGGTCTTACATGTTTTAATTTAAAGATACAGTAGATGAATCAAACACATGGCATTTCTAGAAGACTTCTATATGATTAGTAAACATTATATAATGTGAAAAAAGTGTTTTGGCAAAAATTTATAATGTGTCTGTTATAGACTGAATGTCTGTGTATCTTCAAAATTCATATATTGGGGTGGGTGTTTGGAGCAGAGGTTAAAATTGCTTGGGACTCCCACATTCCATATTGGAATGCCTGGTTTCTTTCTTTCTTTCTTTCTTTCTTTCTTTCTTTCTTTCTTTCTTTCTTTCTTTCTTTCTTTCTTTCTTTCTTTTTTTAGAATTATTTATTTGAAAGACAGAGATACAGAAAGAGGTAGAGCCAGAGGGAGAGAGGTCTTCCATTCTGCTGGTTCACTCCCCAAAACGACTGCAATGGCCAGAGCTGAGCTGAGCTGAAGCCAGGAGCCAGGCGCTTCTTCCAGGTCTCCCATATATGGGTGCAGGGGCCCCAAGGTGACTAGCAGAGAGCTGGATTGGAAGAGGAGCAGCCAGGACTCGAACCGGCACCCATATGGCACTGCAGGGTGGGGCTTTAACCCACTGCACCACAGTGCTGGCCCTTTCCTGGGTTCTAAGTCCCAGTTCAGCTCCCTTTTCCAGTATTTTGCTAATGCACACACTGGGAGGCAGCAGGTAATGGCTCAAGTGGTGGGGTCCAGATAGAGTTCCCAGCTCCCAGCTTTGGCCTGGCCCAACCCCAGCTGTTGTGGGCATTTGGAAATTGAGCCAATGGATGGTAGCTCTCCGTCTATCTCTCCTTCTGTCTCTCTGTCTTTCAAATAAGCACGATAAGTAAAAAATTTTAAGAGGAATTACAGTCCTGTTGGGAAGTGATAGAAGCAAAAGTCCTTTTCTGGGCCTTGGAGATTTGTGACAGGAAGAAGATTGCCACACATCATTTTTTTAAAAAAGATTTCCTTATTTATTTGAGAGGTAGAGTTACAGACAGTGAGAGGGAGAGACACAGAGAGAGAGGTCTTCCATCTACTGGTTCACTCCCCAAATGGCTGCAATGACTGGAGCTGAGCCGATCCAAAGCCAGGAGCCAGAATCTTCTTCCTGGTCTCCCACATGGGTGCAGGGGCCCAAGTGCTTTGGATATCTTCTACTGCTTTCCCAAGCCATAGCAGAGACCTGCATTGAAAGAGGAGCAGCCATGACTAGAACTGGTGCCCATATGGGATGCCGGCATCGCAAGTGGAGGATTAACCTACTGCTCCATGGTGCCATCCACCCCCCCTCCCCACTTCATCTTGGGAACAAGAAGGAACACATTTTCCATGATCTAGCAATATGTTGCAAGTTTGAAAAATACCAGTTTGCTCACCTGGACATTCCAGTGGATTTACAAAATTTATGACCACCCTGGTCACAGAACTTGTCTCAAACCTGCTTATCTCCCCCGAAGAATGCTAAGCTGCTCCTAACTTAACTTCTCTTTGTTGTGAAAGTCCCAAAGTCCCTTCCCTAGGTGGAGTACTCCATCAGTCTCTAGCTAACCTGTGATTTGCAGTATGTAACTTATATCACCAGAGTAAAACTGTCTTTGCTTCATTTTAACCTTGTTTATGATTTCTTGATATACAGGAGACAGGAAACACACACACACACACACACATTGTATATAAATATTGGGCTAATAGGAGCAATGCTAACATTAACTTTAAAGGCATTTTGGTGGAGGGAGTCTACACCAAGGAGGTTTCAGTGAAGTTTAAGCAAAGAGACCTACATGGGAACTGACTTGTAAAAA